CTGAACAACGTCTGGAGCTTCATACAGATTTCTGTCCAAGGTATACTAATAATCTTCGATTGATTTAACTTTGTACTAGGCTTAATATTAAATTGGACTTTTCCCTGACCCAATGGCTGCAATGTCCTACAACCACCATGAACATCTTTCAGGATAATCACATAGCTACTCACAGATAGATTTTGCCTTTCTAATGTTTAAGACCTGAGCAAGTCTCAATTTAGGTAAACTTTTGAAAAAGGTTAAAACTTTACTGCAAAATGAAAGTCACTGTAAACGCAAATTTGCTTATTCCAAGTCATGTTCTCTTGAAATAAGATTGCACATCTCAAATCAAGAGCAGGGAAATTCTCTAATCAAGGAAAAACACTTTGTAAGAATGTTTGAACTTAAAACAAGATATAACTAGTAAACTTAACGAAGAATGAAAATTCTTGTTATGAGATACTGCTAGACCCTGATAGCAGGGCTAACTCGTGCCGCTAAATGTGTTGAAAATTGCATGTGCTGGCTTACTAAAATCGAAGAAACAAAACGAGATTTGGCTAGATAAATACAATAGTTTAGACACGGTAAACATCACGCACGGCAATGCAAACGTGACTTAATCTTGCTAGCCAACGAGCTTGCGTAAAGGCTAACAGACCTCATCGTTCACCCTGATAGTCTTTTGTTGTTTATACTTAGACTGTGAAACAAAGTAAAAAAAGGATAGACTAATTCTAGTAATTCTAGTAATTTAAAGGTCAAGTGTACCACAGTATCAAAATCAGACAGTTTGCAAAGTGTCGGTGATAGTTGACGCCGTGACAGCGATCTTAACAAGAAGCTTATCCCGCTCTACAAAACCATGATCGCTTCAATCGTCATCAAGGAATACTCCTGCGTGAATAGCATTGCTTTCTTTAATCCAGAAGAGACAGAATCTCTCATCAAATTGGAAAATCTAGGCTATGCAACTCAGAATCAGATAGCCACGTTGCGGCTTCACTCAGCTACGAAGTATCGGTTTATGTTTCGCTAAGGAAAATGCACTACTTGGCTCGATACACCACCCTTGATGACCTAAACCCATGTCCTAATATATGCTCTTACACAAATGAATGTTTTGAAAGAACAAAAGGGCTCTCGTCGAATCTCAAAGAATTGAGATCGGAGGGCAATCGGGAGATCCCGAAGCCAAACATCTCACAGACATTGCACGAAAAAAATTGTACGCGTTGCATTTTATACCTTGTGCAACGTCCTAGGGCCTGGCACGAATATTTATCTATAAAATATTTCTCCATTACGTAAACTTGATTATTTTCACTAGTGAAAATGGAACATTCGTGGTATCTCTATATATTCGAGGTAAATAAAAGCTATTTTAAAACATCATTTGTTTTCATATATAATTATATCTTTTCAACACTCGAAGATAAAATTAAATCCGTATCTTCGCGCGCTCCTGTAATATCCTCAATTTTAGTATCCTGAAATAATCACCCAATAAGAACGCTTAAAATGAGCAATCGATTACAGTGAATCCTTCCCAAATAGCCACAACCGAACATACCTTTAATTGTCTGCTTACATCCCGGTTATTAAATTTACCTGTTTCAAAATTCGCCAGGCAGACAGCAATGAAGATACCACATTTTACAAACAGAAATGCTCCACACATTTCGACGGAATTCAAAAGTTCACCTCCAAGGGACCTTCAAGAACAAATTTCAGTTGAAAGGAATGTCATTTTCTTAGAATGATCGGCATGCCCATGTGTGCATTATTTCAATTATTTGGCGACTCTCTAGAAATCAATTATTATACACGTGCAGCGTGGATTGATAGATATAGAGGTTCTTAAATTACCTGCAAAATGAAGTTTGATTTGGATTCTATAATGTCATCAGTCCGGAACGAAGGAGTAACATGAGAAGAACGCGCGTCAGTGTCACAACGTTATTTCGGTGAGAAGGGGAACATAATCTGGATTAGAGTATAGGGGTCGCTTCAAATTGATATATTTTGAGATATG